ATAGTTTGTGTGAGAAAGAGAAGGAAAAATAAGATATCAGAATTTTCCAAACCAGTGAATTTGAAAGGCTGGGTGAAACAAATCAGGAAAAGGGTGTGTTAACCCTGCAAGAGGCAAGAGAGAAGGCTGAAGATGCTGGCTGTGAAAACCTCACTTATTTCACAAGTTTCACACTTTAAATGTCTTCCCTTTGTTTTGGTGTAAAATGAAGAGTGTAGGAATAAGAGTAAAAAAAAAAAAGAAACACAAAAAATCACTCCAATATTTAGAAAACAAGTATTGATCATTTTGTTAATTCACTTGTACTTTGTGAAAGATTAACTTGGTTTGTGTGACCTTTCTTTTCTTAAAATACAGCAGACTTCTGTATTTGCTAAGTAATTATTTTCAAAAGAAGAGCTACCTAGTTTGGGCTAGGTGCAGCTGAGATAATGGTTAGGACAATTAGTTCTGTAGTATGAAACAAGAAAAAGCTCTTCATATAAATATCACACAATCAGATACTATGCACAAAGTTGGACTAGTACAGCAGTGACAACTGTGGTTCTGGAAGCTGCAAACAACGAGTTTACCACAAGGAAATACTGCACAAGAGTAAAAGCATAACATTGATAGAGTGGCTAATGATGTTGAGTACTGACCATTGTCTGCTGATCATATATACAGTATATAATACATACATATATGTGTGTGTGTGTGTGTATATATATGTGTGTAGGGAAAAAACTTATACTGAGCATATGTGCGAGATGGGTTGTTAGAGTTCTCCCAAACCAGGGAGCTGCAATGCCTCAAGCACCCTGTATCTTGTGCTATGAGCAACACTGCTTATTTCTCTGTAGGTAGTCTGCATTTAACAAATGCTTAAAGCATTCCAGGAATTGCAAAATAAAATTATAAATAAAATTTAAAATTAAAATGTAGCTATGTGGTGCCCAGTGAAAGGACATTAGGCTACAGGCACAAATTGGCAATACACAAAGTTTTCATTAAACATAAGGGAAAAGTTTCTTTCAGTCAAACATGGGAACAAGTTGGCCAGAGAGGCTGTGGAGTCACCATTACTGGAGATATTCAAAGCTTGGCTGAACAAAACTCTTTGCTCTTTAGAACAATTTGCTCTATTTGACCCCACTTTTGAGCTGGGGCTTGGACTAGAATTTATCTAGAAATCCCTTGCAATCTCAGCTCTGCTCTTCTGTGATCCTGTGAAACTGAGAAAGTCAATGTCTCTCATTTAGCTTAGTATTCTTTGGGGTTAATTGAAACAAAACATGATTTTTCAAATTACCCTTGTATGCCATCAGTGCACATGGTGGCAGTAACCTGTCTGCAGAACTTTCTACTCCTTACACAGTTGTACCTCTTCACCCTAAAATGAGAACCCAGCAGATACAATCTTCTGTAGTACTTCATGCCAAGTACATGTAAAAGCTAAAAGCTGAAGGAAGGCAGTTCAGAGGCATAGGAAATGTCTTTGAGAGCATTAATCTTGTCTTCTTTTCCTACCTCTCCTTTCTTCTCCTGCCTTCCTTTTCCTGTGCATGGTACTGGCTCAGGTAAATGTGGATGGCACTACTTTTTTACAACACTGCAGCAAAAAGAAAAGAGGTGACTTCTCAGTAACCTGTAGCTTTCTAACTTGTCCAAATGATTTCTGTACAGAACTACTACACTGTTTGTGCTGGCTTTGAAGTTGCCATCTCTTTGAATCCTGAGGTTTTCCCTGCACATTCCAGTGCTAAGAAAAGCAGATATGTGAGTCAGTTCAATCCAAAAGAAAGGAAGGCTGTGAGGACAGCAGAAGCTGGGTTTGTCAGGAGAAAACCCATGACATTTTGTTCTTTCAGTCAGGTGTGCTTGGCACCTGAAACTACTACCAGGAATTTTGCAGTGGCAAGAACAGAGAGTGGAGATAAAACAATGTTGGTGGGTGTGTGCATGTGAAAAGTGGAAATCTGGTTTCTGCAGACTGATGGTGGAATACAATTTTCTGCAGCAGATTTTGGGGAAGAAACCAGGGAAAAACACCCTCACCCTCTCCCCCCCCACAATAAAACAGCTAAATCTGAGGCATCGAGAGCTTACAGAATACAATAATACAACACAATATAAGAATTTATAGTCCTAAACACTTGTTAGAGATGCTTAAAAATAATTTTTATTTCCAATGGATGGTTTACATTTTTAAAATTAAACCTTTTTATGCCTTGCTTTTTAAATGTGTCTAGGAAACAAACTGGCATTCTGAGCACGGGGAGCAAAATGGGGAGCATAGGGCAAGAAGATAAGAGATTATTAAGGGGATAAATTCTGCTGCTATTTGGATGGGGGACAAAGTTTTCTTTTAAACACCTTTTCACTCAGCAGCTTTCAGGTCTTTTTATTTTTCCTTGTTGCTGTATTTTTTAGTCAAGCTGTTAATGGAAAATAATATAAGTTAAGCAGATCATCTCATTCAGGATAAAGAGAACACAATTAAAAATGAGGTGGTTGTGATACTTACAAACTTGAAAGAGCCTTTTCTGAAATTATATAATTGCTTGCAGTAAGAAAAAAAGGAAACCACAAAAATGAAACAAGGTTGTGCAAGATTATTTAACTATTATCGCTGACCTGAACCAAAAATTTTATCTCAATAAACAAGAGAGACTTGTGACTTTGTTCTTGTATTTGACAAAGCTCATTTACACTAACACCAAAAAAACCCCTTCACCCAAAATAATCCACTCAGGCCCAGTCCCATTTGCTCTGATGCCAATGTCAGCTCTGATGGGAATTCAAGAGCAGGATTGAGTGCATGTCTAACATGTAGGTGACATTAATATTTTCTCTATGCAGGCTTAGAATATAAAGTATAACTGAGTGATGTATTTCTCCTAAAAAAATAGAAAAGTACACCATAATGACTCACCATTTTTTTTTAATTACATATAACTTTTATGGAGGGACTAGAGAGACTTCATTCTAATTTTGAAATCTTGTTCTTAAAAGCTACAGAACCATTTTTCCCACGCTGGTACACTTGTCCTTTCAGCTATAAACAGAGAGGCAGAATTTATATGTAGAGTACTGGAAATCTCTTTACAGGATCTAAAAACAGCCTTTCAGTTTGTGAGAATTTTGCCATGATAAACTACATCTTGTAGTTTGTTAACATGGGAGTGCTGAGCATGACTGGAGAGAAGGAAATTCCAGATCTCCGCAAGTCAATTTGTTGCTATTTCTAATAGTTACTAGGAAAGTATTTCCTAATCTCATCATTAGGGCAAAGCTCAGTACTGGTGTCTTGAGACTTGGACTAGACTAACTTGGAGAACACTTGATGATGAGGTAGAAGAAGAAAGTATTTATTAGCAGGAACTTTTTATCAGTTTTTATATCGTGGCAACTTGGGATATGAGCAAACAAAGCAATGGTGTACTGAGAAGTGAAGGTTAAAATGGAATGTATACTTGCAGCAGCCTTGGAAATACTTGCGAGGCAAATCTGCACTTGTAGTGCAGAGGGGAAAAGGGGAAGGAAAAGTGATATAACAGCTGGAAAAAAAGGAGGAGTGAAGAAGAGGAGATAATCTTGCCCTGAGTACAGAATGCCTGTGAGACTTGTTTTAAAACCCTCACTTTCGGTGGTACTAATTTACTTTGTATAATCCAAGACTTCCTTTTTTTAAAGAAGTACATGCTTGTAGAGCCACCAGCACGTTAGCGTCTGACTGAAGATAACACAGTCCCTTTGAAGGACTTCTGGCAGCCTGTAGAGAACATTTTACAATTACTCAGTCCACAGCTCCACATCTCCTACCCACGACATCTGCTTGTTCACATCAAGACAGGCAGCTGCTTCTCTGCAAATTCTGCTCCAGATTTACGCCTGACCCCCTAGAAAGCCAATAACCAAATGCAATACACTCACGAGTGCTACTTTTCCCTCGGCACCTCTGCACACTGCGGTTCCCTGATGGGGTAAGGAAGGGATGTCCTGCAGCAGTGGGCAGAAGGGGAAGGAAGTGGAGCGTGACTGGAGCGCGGAGCTGCTGCGTTTGCAAGGCACGAACTGTTGTGCGGCTGTTGGAAAGGTTCTGGGGAGCAGCCGAGTTCGGGGACGGAGAGGTTTATTAATAACTAAGGCAAATACCTACACTTGGTAGCTTAAATGAGGGGATCACTTCACGTGGTGGAATTTTGTGCGGTGATTGAACTGCAACGCTTCACTTATTTTAAACGCTGTTTCTCAGTAAGCGAGCTCATGCGCTCGGCTGCTGATCGCCCCCCGGCCGTGCCTTCGGGCCGGGCTGCCGGCGGCACCGGGAGCGGGCGCTCCGCAAACCCCCGCCGTGTCCGTGCGCATCTCCGTGCACGGCTGCGGGGAAGCGCCGCGCCCCGTGGGGAACGCACCAGCCTCCGGAGGGCTTTCCAAAGGGAATAAAGGGAGGAGAGGCAAAGATTCCCACGTGCCGATCACAGCTCAACTGTAACATTCAAACGCGCCGAACGGGCCCACGTCCCAAGGCTCAGCCGCAGCTCGGGGCTCGCCCGTCCATCAGTCCCGGCGGCGGCGGCAGCGGCGGGGCCGTTTCCCCGCCCGAGCTGCCGGCCCGGGCTCCCCGCGGGGCCCCGCCCGGGACACGGGCCCGGGGCACAGCGCGCGCCCGCCGGCGGAGCCGCCCCGGCCCCGCCCGTTAACGGCCGCGCGGCCCCGGCGCCCCCTGGCGGCGCCGAGCCGGCCACCCCCGCGAGCGCGCACGGAGCTGCGGAGCCCGCGCGGGCGGCGGGGCCGGGGCGGCGCTTCCGCGCGGGGCGGGGCGGGGCGGAGACGGCGCCGCGAGCTAATTGGCTGCTCCGCGCCGGGAGGTGCGCCCCGCGCTCGCAGCGCTCCGTGATAGGGCGAGGAGGGGCAGAGGGGGCGGGGCGCTGCGGCACGGCGCGCCCCCGTTGGCCGCTTCTCTCGCCTGGGCGCGGCGGGTGCTGCCATTGGCCGGCGGGCGGCGGGGGGGCGAGTCCGGCGGCAGCGGCCTCCAGGGCTGGGGTCCGTCTCGGCGGCAGCGGCGGAAGTCTCGCGAGGGAGCGCGGCCGGGATTTGGCGGTGCTGCCTCCCTCCCTCCCTCCTCCCTCCCTGCCTGTCGCTGGCTGCGAGGCGCTGGTGTTTGTGTGGAAGGGGGAGGAGGAGGAGAAGGAGGGCAGGCGAAAGGAGCCCGAGCCCCACCATCCGCCGAGGGGAGCGGACCGGAGCCCCCTCGCCGCCCGCGGAGCCCTCTTTCCCTCCCCTCGCCCCGCCATGGCCTCGGGAGACACCCTGTACATCGCCACGGACGGCTCAGAGATGCCGGCCGAGATCGTGGAGCTGCACGAGATCGAGGTGGAGACCATCCCGGTGGAGACCATCGAGACCACCGTGGTGGGCGGCGAGGAGGACGAGGAGGAGGAGGAGGAGGATGAGTGCTGCGAGGAGTGCGGCCCGCACCACCCGCCCCATCACTACCACCACCACCAGCCCATGATCGCGCTACAGCCGCTGGTGTCGGACGGGGACCCCAGCGGGGCGGGCGGCGGCGCGGCCGGCGGCGGTGGGGGGCAGCTCCACCTGCACCACCACCACCAGGAGGTGATCCTGGTGCAGACCCGCGAGGAGGTGGTGGGGGGAGACGACTCGGACGGACTGCGGGCCGACGACGGGTTCGAGGACCAGATCCTCATCCCCGTGCCGGCCCCCGCCGGGGAGGACGAGTACATCGAGCAGACCCTGGTCACTGTGGCCGCCGCCGGCAGCAAGAGCGGAGGCGGCGGCTCCTCCTCGGCCGGCGGAGGAGGCCGCGTTAAGAAGGGCGGCAGCGGCAAGAAGAGCAGCAAGAAGAGTTACCTGAGCGGGGGAGGCGGCGGCGGGGCCGAGGGCGGCGGCGGCAGGAAATGGGAGCAGAAACAGGTGCAGATCAAGACCCTGGAGGGGGAGTTCTCGGTCACCATGTGGGCCTCGGGTAAGTGCGCGCCGGACCCCTCCCTCCCTGGGCCGCGGGCCCCGCCGGCGGCCGCGCGGTGCGGCCGGGAGAGTTTTGTTTTGAAGGGAGGCCATGTTTTGATGTGTGCGATGGGCGCCGCCATGTTCATCGCCAGGGCAAGTATGGCGGCTCCCCGAAAAGATGGCGGGGTCTGCGCTGCCGCCGCCGCTCCTGCCCGGCCGCGGCGGGGGGAAGGAGGCAAACATGGCGGCGGCCGCCAAGATGGCGGCGGCGGGGGGTGCGCGGGCGGGCGGCAGCGCCGCCGGCTCCCGGGCCAGGCCGCAATGGCGTAGTTTCTGCAGCAGGGGGAGGCGGGGTGCGGGGCGAACCTCCCCGCGCTCCCCCCGTCCCCGCCCCGCCGCCGCTCCCCGCGGGGCCCGCTCCGCGCCTGCCCCTCGCGCTCCCTCCCCTCCCCCGGCCGCCGCCGCCCTCTGTCCTCCTTCTCCCCCGTGTCCCGTCCCGCCGTCCCTCCCCGGCTCCCCGCCTGCCGTTCCGCTCGCGTCCCTCCCGCCCCGCGGCCGCGGGTGAGGCGTGTGCGCCGGGCCGTGACCGCGATGTGCGAGCGAAAAAACTCGCCCGCCCCAACCCCGCGGCTCCCCGGCCCGGGGACGGCGAAGCCCGAAATACCGTGTGCAGCTCGCCCGGGGGCCGCCGGCCCCGGCCCGCTGCGGTGGGTGGGGCCTCCCCGGCCGGAGCCCGCCGTGCCGGCGAGGGGAAGCGGCTCCTCGCCCCCGCGGGGCTGCCCGCGCCTCCCGCCGCCTCGGAGGGGGCGGCCGCAAACAAGCGGCCCTTGAGAGGCCGAGGGGCGCCGGGGGTGACGGCCGGGAGGGGCGGCCCCGGAGCTGACCTCCGTCCCTGGGAGCCGCGGGCAGCAAAGGGGCAGTGTCTGGCTGGCCCTCGGAAACCGTCGGGCTTTTCCTCGACTAGGTCTGAAGCTTTAAATAAGCTTTTTAAGTAGGCACAGGGAGACCTTGTCGTGGGAGATTCTGTTTTTGAGGATTTTTTGTGTGTGTGGGGGTAGGAGTGTCTTTTAAAGGCAGTAAAATCTCGTGAAGGTGTTTAGTATATGTGGGGCTTGGAGTAAAGCTGACATGCACCTACCCTGCCTACTTTATTTCTTTTTTTAATTTTTACAAAAATGTATTGCCGGCAGCAATGCTCTGTAATCAGAGTTCTGTCCATATGTTACATAAATGTGAAAAAAAGAGGTCGAATAATACAGTTCATGTAATGTGTAAATTGGTGGGTGTTTTTGGAACGGTAACTTGGTAATCTGTTTTGCATATCATAATTTTTGTGCTCTTTCGAGTTTTTTAGAAGGAGTCTAGTCAGATTGAAGCTCTTGAAGCTTTTGATGTAGTTGAAAATGTTTGTATTCTGTGATGCCTGCAAATGACTAGAAGTTATTAGCAAGGGCAGTGTGGAAGGGAAGGTGTATTGGATGGCTGAGTTCTCCTGCCTGAAAAGATGGAAAGCACAGTGGCATGGATTTCTGCTCTCTTTTTAAATACAGGTGACTACTTTAGCAAGTTTCACAGTGTTATCTGACACTATTGGCATGTCAGGTGACAACCCAGTGAGTTTGATTGAAGTTCTTCTTGATGGAGTTTTCTATATCCTATTTAGTAGGATGGTGTTCTGTGTGCTTCTATATCACTGTATGAAACTGAATAAATTCCCTTGCTAGTAGTTTTATTAGAACTGACCATCCAAGAAAGATAAAAGATAATAGAAACTAATATAGTCTGCTGGCTTGTGGAAGCTGCTGGAGGTAGCAGAATGCAAGTGGCTGTATGACTCATGAGCTGGCAGGATCCAGGACCTCGCTGAGATCAATTGACAATTTCTAGCATGCATTTGCACTCAGAAATTCAGAGTGCCTGATAGGATGCTTCCTTAGGACTGCATGCTAATTATTACTTGGCCAAAGTGAAGCATGTGTGTATAGTCAATAAATTTGCTTCTCTTCCCACATACACAGCTTTTATATCGGGGTAGCCTTATTGATTTTGGCGATTTTCTTGTTTAGGAGCATGACCATGGAGCTCAGTAGGAAGGATACCCACTTATAATTTACTGGACATTGAATTGCATTGCTGCATTTAACTCCATTATATCCATGATGCAGAAAAATAAAGAACACCTAGTCTGACTTTACTTGCCAAAAAATGCCCTTCCAAAAGCAAAATCAAATACATAGGGAAAAGTTTGACCTCCCCTCCCTTTGTGTATGCAGGCACCACCCGCCAGCTTCAAACAGCCTTGGTAATAACCTGCTCAGCTGAGAGTGTTGTGATGTTTTACTGAGAATATTGGACAGGCTCTTACACCTCATATGCAGCTTATTTATTTAAAGGGGTCTGATGTGGTCAAATGCTGGGAATTTTTTTCCTTTCTTTTTAAATTTTTTTTTTATTTTGCCTTTTTTTTTTCCTGAAACATCAGAGGCTGAATCATTGACAGAGAAATCGAAAAAGAAACAAAACTTGGGGCAGAGGGATATACACCCAAACCAAAAAAAACCCCAACCTGAGTACCTTCCCCCAAAAACCTCAAAATAAATAAAGACCGAAAAAACCTAGAATCACTGGCTTGCAAAAGGGAGTTCTAAAGTTTCCCTAAAGAATCAAACTACTTTATTTTGAAGAAATATAGTAGGTTTGAATCTGTATTTTGACATAATTAAAGATTTGCTTGCACGCTGATTCAGTTGACAGTTTTAAAAGCTAAATGAAAAGTTAATCAAAAGACAAGTGATAAATAGGCCATGCATCAAGGTAAAACAGTGAGCCCTATATTGCTGTGCATGGGATTTTGAATTGGGAAGAAGGACACTTTGCTCACTACAGTGTGGGAAGACAATGTGAATTTATTCCTTGTTACTGTTTGCTGGTGCTACTACATTAGCTTGTACAGGGGTGGTACTAAATTTAACCAATCATAAATCTTTTTCCATAAATTCGTACAACATGTCTTGTAGCTCCTCTTGAAATGTGTAGAAATAATCTGTGAAATATATAGCAATGTGACTAAAGGGGACTACTGAATCCTTGTCTTGTTATGTGGTTTCTTAGAAATTGCAGCACTGTTGTTGGCAACAATTTAGACTTAGCATAACTTCTCTTATCACCTTGGTATCTATGGTGATATCAAACTTGTGACCCATGATTAAAGTGTTTAGTTTGAAACATGAGTGCCTTGTTCTAGTTCAGATCAGCTTTTCAGTTCTTAACAATACAATTATTTGTCTTTCTTCATGTGTTCATGAAAGTAAGAAGTGAATGAAGGCATATTTCTGAAAGGGTTGAAGAGGGCATATGGTGGATAGTTCAGTCATGTTCCTGTAGTGTGTTTACTTTATATCAAATACATGAATCAGAAAATTGCATATAGTTCAATTGCATGTAATCCAAGTGAGACACCCCAGTTTGTACTAGAAAAATTGTAGTTATCAAGTAGAATTTATTGGTATCTTTGCTGCATTTAGCTTGAATCATTGTCTTTAGTGAATTTTTCCAGGTTGGGTGCACAATAGTGAAGGGGGAGGGGAAGGATCGTGAGAAATCACTTTGTCAGATGGTGCTTGCAAAACTGATTCTTGCATGCAGGAACATTTGGGAAGGTGGTGCTTAAATGCTGGTTGCACCAAATGCTGGAAATTTCAAGCAATTGGGGCTTAAATTCAAAGGCGAAAAAATGGATTAGTGTAAGTACATCTTCTAGGAATGCCTCTGTCAAGCTTCCAAAGCTGAAATAGGTGTTGGCTTAAACCGTTATTGTAAGCATCGTCTGCAAACTGAAGTAGCACAACCAAATATTGCCCACAGATGTTAAACTGCTCAAGTGTCCCATCCCTAGATGGGAAAGACAAAGACACAGAAGTTACATGTATGGTTTGGAAATTATTTTTGATAATACAGGAAGCCTGTGCTGTGGATCCTTATTTGGAAGTTTGGGAGTTTATGCTGGGTTTCTAGAAGATTCTTCAAAATCTGTTAAACTTTCAATGACTCAAAAAATAGAAAGGTTTTCATTTTACTTGATCACATTGCAGGGGTGAGAAAAATAACCATCTGCTGTCTGACCAGTTGTCTTATGTAGTATAAATGATAGATGAGTCACTTAGTTCAGTTGTGGGGCTGTATCAAGGATGGCCAAAATGCTTTGCAATGACAAATAGGTAATGAGCTTCTTGCAAAGTTTGTTATAATGGAGGCAGAAAGTGATTCTCTGGTTTAAAATATTAAGATGACAGTCTATTTCTGACTCTGATTAAGACAATGATACAAGCTTCTGCTGTAAGCATCGAATCTGCCCTGACATTTTTTCCAGTGATAAGGTAGACTGTTCTCTGTGTTTGTTTTAAATGTATTTTCAGTTTTGAAAGTGAAATACATGAATGTGGTTCACCATCTAAAATGACTCGGAGGACTGTAGTCTGAAGGTGGGCTAGGAAGCAAATTAACTAACTTGCTGTTGGATCCTTCCCTGGGGCACTCGAGTCACTCCTGTGCTGACCATTCAGAAGGTCACAGTGCTTCAGCACAGTCCCATAAGTGCTGAAGTCAGATGATGACTGTTGATATATGCACTGGTTTTGTCAGTTCATGTCTCAGTGGTGTGAAATAAGAGATGGGTGACACAGGGAAAGAAGAACCTGTTCTCCATCTGTGTGCAAGGCACGTCAGAAGGAAAGTAACCTAGCAGCCGTTTAGGTTAAAAAATGACATACTGTGCAAAATGGAATTTTAACATTCAGAAGTGTCTGCTAAATAACTGTATTATTTAACAAGCTAATTACAGTTCTTTGCTTCCAAACATGACCAATGAACTAATTTGCCTGAGGAGATTGCAATGTGGTAGCAATAACCAAGCTGTTACCACAGTGCCTTGGTACTGCACAGCTGCCGAATACATCCTTTATCCTGTAATTGCTTTTCAGCTGTTCCTAAAAGCAAATGTGTTTAACTGTGTGATCATATTTTAAGCTTAAATGTTCATCCTTTTAGTGGCTAAGTAGAATGTCTTAATTTGGTGCCTTGAGGAGGAAGCTGTAGGATCAGGTGTCATTGCTTTGCTACCAGGTGTATCTCGAAAGTTCTCTTTTGCACCCTGTTTTCCTCAGATGAAAACTGATTGAACAACAATAGTTCTCCCTGCTCAGTAATAGAGGAGGAGGATGGCCAGAGATTTGGGGATTTAGATAAAATCAAGAATAAAAAGGAAAATCAAGAATAAAACAGAGGAAAAAATAATGACAGAGCTTCTTGGGTTGAGAGTTAAGAGGGTCAACTTAGTAAGCTGGGAAGTTCCAGAGCTGTCAGCTGCAAGTCAAGAAATGCTCTAAATAATGGGATTCCAAGGGGGGTGGATTCTTCTGTGTGTAATAGGAGGGCTGTAAGAGATGGAGAAATTGTGGTAATAGGAGCAAGATGTGATCAGTCAATTATTGGGAAGCAGATTCTACCATGATTTGTTATTGATTTGTTGCATGGAGTTACTAGTTTGATTCCAGTAATCTTGGTTCTTCCTACTATATTCAATACTTGGGCTTGGTTCTCTCAAAACTTCAGGATGTTTCACCAGTAGTCAGAAGACACAACTGCTAAACACTGAATTTTCACTGATGTTAGTAGAAGAATGTTTGACATACTTGCTTTGGAAGGTCTTAGTGGATCTGGTTCCATATGTGTATTGCCCATATTTAGGGGGCAGTGAGAGACATGCAGATGGAAGGACACTGCTGAACATGAAGGTGTGTTAGGGTATGTCTTGAAAAGGTGCCTAGAACATCCCAGTTTAGACTAAGTAAGCAATGCAAGACCTTAATGCAAGTTGGCATGGAAGGATGTAGGGGGAGGCCATTAAAATTGTGTTCCAAGTTCATTACAGAAAGCTGCATTGGATCTATAAGAATAGTGCTTCAGCCAAATGCCTTATATTTGAGTCTGCTCTGCTCTCAGGTGGTTTTAAGGGACAAAACAAAGTAGATCAGACAGTATACATAGTAGTTAATTTCCTTTACCTGACTGCCTCCATGGTTCTGTCTGTATATAACTTGTATGGGTTATATATCTCTATATATATATCTCATCTCTCTATACAGAGATGTCACTGTATTTTCAGGGTTGTGTCTGTGTTTTGCTTTGCTTTGGATGCAGTATGTTTCATTCTGTGATGCTTCATGAGAGGAAAAGGGGGAGGTAATTTGCCTGTAGTGGGCATCAGGACTTACTTGAACACAAAAACCAGCAAACAGTTAACTTGCCCAGTTAGCAGTGAGAATGATCAGTTCAGCCTGAGTGAAAGTTTGCTTGCACTTTACCCTCCAGACTTTGAGCTGCCTAGTCCAGGTTGATAGGCCATCACAAATAAAGTAAATTTGTGCATAGACGACATTGGTAAAATGTTTCCATTTCCAGACTTCCTCCAAAAAAGTGGGGAGGTTTCTCAAAAGAAAACCCTGGGGTTGGCTCCACTGTGCTGGCCCTGTCCCCTTGTGCTCCTCTCAGTGCAGGGGAGCATGAGTGCTGTGTTGTTGTTTTGTTTTTCCAATGACCTGACAATGTCACAGGAGGTCATGATACTAAAGAGGTACTGAAGTCTGCTGCTACTTTTTCAGAAATATTAGCCAAAAATTACACTTCAAGGTAACTGTTTTGTATTTTATTGTTTTGGTTTAAATTTATATTTGGAAGTGTGTGCTGCTTTAGAGATGCAGTTTTTTGTTATAGAAAAATGTGTTTTTTTTATTTTCATATAACTGTTAATATACTAAACAGTAATTTCTCTTATGTTTTATTCTATCCAAGCAATATGTTTATAGGTTTTTTGTGTTTTGCAACAGTAGTCTGTGGAATTATATAGCTGTGGAATTGACTTCTGTTGGCAGGCTTTTGGGAAGTAAAGCCACTGAGGGCTGGCTTTCAGTTTGGTCCTCAAATAGCAAGAAAGCACTGTGGAATAGCAAACCTTTGTGCTAGGGAAGGAAAGAACATCTTAAAGAATGTATACAGAATTTCCTAGTTGACTCATCTGATGTGAGGCAGGAAATGAAAACTTGTCTGTGTTATGAATGCCATCGAACAGTCAAACTGCAAGTTCTAGGTAGCTGTTGAAATGGCCACGTTGAGGGCAGCTGATCTCATTCCAGTCTACGGTGTAGAGACGGTGTCACCTTTAGCTTTGCAACAATTCTGTGCCATTCTGAGCTCCCAGTCTTTTTTCAAGCTTCTGTTAGAACAAATTGTTGCCAAACTACTAGAGGCTTATTGACTCGAATTGTAACTCCTTCAGTTGCTGTAAAACTTAACATATAATCCTCACTTGAGGTAAATTCAATTGCTTTTTTAAAGCACTGGTAGGGACTGAAAGGTAGTGTGGTGGTGAGTGGACAACTAAAAAGGTCAATAGTCAGTTTTGTAGTTTACTTTGAGTTTAATGCTGCAGATAGTGTTTTCTTATTTACACTTCTGTCTTTGCAGCATTGGAGTCTGTTTTCCTCTTCCACCATGGAATATACATGAAGTGCTATTTGATCTGGTAGATCAGATTAAACCTCAAACCAGCAGTAACATTTCTAGAAATAGCTTGGTGGCAAACATTAAAAGCAGGCATTACAAATTGAATAGAAATTTGTGTCTGGTATATTTCTTTTATTTGCTTGTCTTGTTCTCTCTTCCCTAGCTAAGTTACTGAGTAATGACTAATGTTATTTCCTGTGTTTCTGTTTAGGGGAAAAATCCCGAAACATTTTGTCTTTTGTTTTCTGCCTTATGTTTTCCTATCTTTTTTATTTGGTGAAATACTATTTCTGTCCTGCCACCTTGTGTTTCCACTGCTTAAACAATATCTGTAAAATAAAACTTCCTGCTATTTTTGTGTAGCCTCCTGTGTATAAAACAATTTCCAGAATCTTCTCCCCATTCACATAGTAGGATAAGTACTGTCAAGTTGCATTACATAGAGCTCAGTAGTTACAGCCATATATACCTCTGTTGTCCCAGGTGTATCTGAGGGTGGAAAACAGGATAGGTGCTGGGTCTTCCTTTCTGCTGCTGTGAACACTGCAGTGAGGAACATAGATGGATGTTTCTGTTCTCTCTCATTTTTGTGTCTCCCAGTTTCTGTTATAAAATAGCAAGAGGAGATAGAATGCATGGTACAATGTTTTCTGAGGTATGAATGGGAGTAGACAGCAACAGCAGGTCTTCCACCTGATTTCACTGCAGTCCTTGAGCACAAATTCATAGGAGGAGCTCTAGAGCAAACAAGAGTATCTTAACTGGCTTGCAGATCAAAGCTTTGAATAATCCCAGTCTGCTGTTTACATAGTGGAGTGGGAAAGGGCTTAGGATGGCCCTTGCCACAGAAGGAAGAAGCCCCCTTGGGAGAGAGACACACGATTTGAGTTGCTTTCTTTGAGATCTGTCTGCAAGTATGAGAAAAACTTAATTTTACAGGCAGATGCTGAAGCCCATCAGCAGTTATTTTTAAATTTCTTGTCTCTATGACACTTCTGTTGGAGGTCAGGGAAGTCTGCAGACTGAAGTAAAGATCAGTAGTCCTGACGCCTTAGGGTAGGTGTCTGCTGCCCTTCTGATAGGCTTCCAAAGTTAGGGACTGCTGCTGAGTATCAGCGTGGGTATAGTGAAGATTAGTCCTGAAGAGGTTAAGGGAAATCAATATTTAGACATTATTTCAGGAAAAGTACATTATCTTTCAAGTGCAGCCAACATTTATAGGATTGTTCTACTAATTTCTGTATTTGTTTGTGCTTAAAATAGATATGCAATTTCTGCTTTTTTTCCCTCACTCACTGTATTCTTTCTGTGTTCTTCAGGCTGTAACTGTATGGATGTCTTTTTGCTCTTCACAATTATGGAAGAGCAGTGTATTCTTTTAAATGTGCAGCAGTAGTGAATTTGTATTGAGATGTAGCCTAATAAATTGTATGCTGTTTTGATCATTAGTACGTATTGAATTCAGTATTTTGTGTATTTCAGATGATAAAAAGGATATTGACCATGAAACAGTGGTGGAAGAGCAGATCATTGGAGAGAATTCTCCTCCAGATTACTCAGAGTACATGACAGGGAAGAAACTTCCTCCTGGTGGAATACCTGGCATTGACCTCTCAGACCCCAAGCAACTGGCTGAATTTGCTAGGTAAGTAGAAAGCAAGGAGGTTTAAAATTTGATCTTTTCACTGGTTAAATGATGAAACTGTTACGCAAAATGGTATATTTAGTATGGTTTATAATTCCATTTAATTACCTTCTAAAACAAGGGATTTAACACAGCACCAGCTTCTCTGTTCTGAACTAAAACAACAGTTTTATATTCAGCAGTGAATTCTTCAGTGTCTTCAGTCTCCAGTTCCATTAGGTAAGACAGGACCTAAATACATTCATTGATAGACTGCATCACTCATTGCTCGAGGTAACCCTGCCTTGGGACTGGACTAGATAGATGCTCTCTAGAGGTCCCTTCCAAGCCCAACAGTTCTGTGATTTTACATGACAGAATATTTCTGTAATTGAGTAGCCTCTAACTCCTGAGCACCAAAGGATCCAATGAGTGAAGTGCTGCATTGGGGTTGTTCAGTCCAAAATAGTAAGGCTACAGGATTTAGCTGGGAATGCCACTTCCTGTTCTTTTTCCCCTGCTTCTTAAACTGAAGATCTTAAATCACGTGTCCTGCCCTTTCAAGTGCCACTGTTAATTGCAGTTGGATTTTCTCTGGTGAGTCAGAATTGTCGCTCGTTTACGTGTCAAAGGGCTGACCGGAGTGCCAAGGTGACTTTTCCTTTCAGGCGGAGGTGGCGCGGCCCGCGGCGGGGCGGTGGCGGCGCCCCGGGCCCCGCTCCGGTGCCGGCGCTCGGCGCAGCCCGTGGCCGCCAGAGGGCACCCGCGGCCGCGGAGGCGCCGCCCTGGGCCCGCTCCGCTCCGCTGCGCCCGTCCCCTGTGTCCCTCTCGGTGCAGGGACAGCGTCCTGCTCTGTCTGCAGCTGTCTGAGCACGGCTGCTGCCTGTCTCTGGCTGCTGCTGCCGCGTTTCCCCAAGCTGAAAGCAAAACATGTGTAAAGCCACATTCGTTTCGACCCCATTCATGAAAGGTGCACTATCTGCCTCTAGACAACAGATCGTGTAATGGTTGCTGGACATATTAATTATTTTATCATTTGCTAGGAATTAGGAATATTTAAATCCTATTTTATGCATTCATTTTTTTTATCTTGACATTTTTAATTTTTTTCATTAAATAATTAAACCATATATCCCTACATTATCCAAATCACTTATCAATACTTCCAATTAACCTTCCTCTGTATTTCCTGGTATATTTCCTGAAAGCAAAACACGTATAAAGCTACATTCATTTTTGTAGGAGCTGGCTGTTCTTCAGAGCTTGGGTGCACAGTTCTGACACTCAGAGCAGGTGGACAGTCACATGTTGTTATCCTTACTACCCAGTAGAGAGAGACAGTGTACCTTTTTCCAGGTAGTTGCTACATGGTCTGGCTTCTTGGTTAGCTGGATCTTGGTGTCCAGTGTGTGCATTTATTCCTGTTTCACCTTTTTGATCTTTCTGCTTTTTTCAAGTTTTGTCCTGTTACTCTGTAGTGTGTTTGTGCTGGAGGAATAAGAGCACAGCCTCATCCCACAATTACTTTCACTAAAGCCATTGAACTATGAGTTTTGAAAGCTCCTAGTAGAATAGTTCTGTAGGGCTTGCTTCCTGCTTCAGACTGTCTGATCTGGAAATGTATAAAAGCACATTACAAACAGCTGAAAACAGGGTTCTGTCTGAAGTGATGGGTGGCTCTAGCTATTGATACTCTTGTGTATTACTATCATTTATCAAAGTTACTGTAATGCTCTCTGGGACCTGCTGATGAGATCATACAATTTTTTTGAAAGCAGATGTTTAACTGATACACTTGAGTGTACATAGTGTTCCAATTCTAAACTGTTACTTACATATTTCTACTCATCATGTGTTTAGAATGGTGTTTTCCATTACTTTAAAGCATGCTAAAACTTTACTCTGGTTCTATTAGACACTGAAGTACTGAATAGCTGTCTTTTGTTAGGAAGCAGAAAGTTTCTTGCAGGGTATTCTCCATGCAAATACTGAATATTTTGTCTTCAGATTGAGTTGAATAGTTGAAATGGTTGTCAGGATTTGGGTTTCTTGAAGTGACCAGGCTGCTTCTCTCAGATGTGTCTGCATATTTCTGAATATTGTGGAATGTTTTAGCAAGGTTTCTATTGAGAAAATAGTGGCTGCTGGCAACATGTCAAAATTACTACTTTTCTATATTTATAGTATTTCAGAATGTTCTAGGAAGTTCCAGAGTTGGAATTTGTAGCATGTAGTGGAAAGATTCAGTTTTATGTGTGCAGCCTCTTTTCCCACAGCAGATAAAATGAAATCCATTTCAGTCAGAAGATAAATGTGTGACGGTAGAGGAAGCACCTTGCTTGGATATCACCTTTAGTAATATCCCCAAGTTGCTCAAAACCTGGGAAAAATGTTCTCATAGCTTAATTGTAGATACATGACAATTTAATGCATTTTCTAAGAAAGGTTATTTGGTTTCTTGGTCAGAATTGGTGAATGTCAAACTTTTACTCTTGCCTTGCAGTTGTATGTTATGTCTTAAATTATTGCATTTGTTTATTCTTCTGAGACTGATGACTATGGGTGTGTTAGAATTTGAATATTTCTTGTTAAGGTCTTGTCCTGCAAAGAAGTGTGTTGAAGGGACTCCTTAGCTAATGAGATGGATTCAAGTACTGATATCTGCAGACTACTGTTCAATTGTCTTATTGACCTTGCTGTGTGCACTATCACTAGGAACTTTGCATGGCAAGCTGGAAGAAAATATTAGGTTTCCATTGTTGGAATTGGCTTTGGAGGTTCAAGGAGTACAGTTTTTCATGCTAAAAGAATGTGTTTGTTTAGTATAAAGCTCTGTGAAATTGCCAAACATTGCTCATTGCTTTACAGTTCAGAAAATTTTTAGTAGCTGTATTGTGAAAACTTTTAGCAACACATGAAGTTGAAAATTGCTTCTAAACTTAAGTAGCTTCACATCCTGTAAGGTTTTGAATTACAAATTTGTATTTAGATTGCTTGAAAAAAGAATTGTGACTGTCCACATCTAAGGACGTGTGAACTGGCTAGTAAAATTGTGTGCTAGGGGCATTGTGCATAGTTGACAGAAAGTCATGTAGGGCTGCTTTTTTGTTTTCCTTGAAGTAGGAAGGAATCTCACCATACATTTGTAGAAATTACCTCCTCTGAACCAGGCTAGAGCCACTGTTTATGACAAATGCAGGTTATTTTGATTAAGGATAAATTGATTTTAAATATTTGCATTGATTATTAGGAACAAAGTTCTGAGGTTAAGCTTGAACAGAAAAAGCTTGAATTCTAGTGGTAGTAGGTTTTGAGCAAGGTTCTGGTATTCTGATCATGATCTAGTTAGTGAAAGGTAATGCAGGGACAAACCTGATGTTTGAAGTTGTTTGCAGCTCTGCAGCCCTTCAAAAAAATAATTGAGAACTGTGGTAATTGAGCAGCTGCAGTGGCCACCAGTGTCCAGAGCTTGGTGGCTCTCACAGAGTGAGGGGTTCTGGTGTCTCCTGTGATGCAGTTGTCTTTCCCTGCCTGGTTTAGAGCATATGTCATTGAGTCATGTAGCAGGAATCTGAATCCTTTAGCTGGAACTCTGACAGTTTTTCCTGGAAAAACTTTTATGCATTCTATGATTCCATTGAAAACACTGTGAATAAATAGGCTGTGTCAGAACATCGACATGTGCAGTAATGTGTAGATGGATGACCAAAAGTTACACCTGGCTGGCAGTTATCACTTTTTTACAGATTACTTTAATTCTGTTTTAAGAGTCTTGAATTTTCTCTAGCATGCTCTGAAAACACAATAAAAAAGAAAAAGGTGGAATTCTCTTGTAATCATATCAAAATGTGAAATGTTAATTGTGAATTATCTGCTCAGAAGGACAAAACCTAATAAATTACCATGTTTTCATTTGATACCTTTGACTGGGAAACTGGAAATCCCTTCAAGTGGAGTAAAATGCTTCATCCAAATCTAAATTGATGACAGCTCAGTAGTTGGCTGTGAAGAAATCATAGCTGCTTGGTAGTGAAAACTTAGGAAGGTAGCAGGGGTATTTCTAGAATGTGCATATGGCAAATTCCCTCAAAGCAAGCCACTAAAAAGGATATCCCTAGTTACCCTGTCCCTCCCTCTTGTCCTCCAAATACATGACTGAACTGGCTGAAGACAGAACACAGACATCAGTAAAACAAAGAAATAAGAAGGAATATCCTATAGCTGGGAAATTGGCACAGTAATGGGTCCTGGTGGTAAAAACTATTCTTTGTGGTTTTATTTTCTGCTGATCTTGGTATGTTTTCTGAAGGAGAGCCATTGTGAGAACTGCCTTCTTTTCCATCCACTTTCCAAACCTATAGAAAACAAAGGAGAGGAAACTGCATTAGAGTTTGAAATAGGACACCCTTTTTAGAAGTGGCAAAGCCTTCTGGTCATCCAGATTTATGACTAGGCCTCTTTATAAGGTGTATGCTTTTGTATGGTTCTTGTTACAGAGAAGCTTAAAGGGCAGTAAAGTGACAATTGCTTTACCCAGTATTCTTGCAGGGGAGGGGACATCCCCTGCTCTGTGCCCCACTGCACAGGTCAGTGTCCCTGTTTGCACATAGGATATTCCTCATAACTGGGACAAACCTAGTAGTAGAGTCATGGAGTGAAAGAACTTCTTATAGCAGTTTTCTTCCTAACTGTGACTGAAGCAGGTAAGACACTGGCTGTTCTTGGGTTGTACACAGAGAGATTCCTAGGACACCTTGTGCCACTCCCCTTTCATCTTGTTTGTCCAAAAGCCAGTCTAGCCAGTTCCAGTAGTTGTTCAGCACAAATAAACTCTTGCAGGGGCACAGGGCTGTGACACTCAAGTTGGTTCTGCTCAGCAGGGCAGTGCAAGGGCAATGGCAGAATGAGGGGAGCACACCAGCAGTGCCAGTATCACTGCTGAGAGACAATCATATCTTCCACCTCTGACTGTTCTGGGAGGCAGAGGAGGGTGGCCATCAGCACAGGAGAATATCATTGCTGGTCATCAGAGACCTCTAGGATGTGTTAAAGGAGCTGCCTGAGAGAGAGAGAATAAAGCTATTAAGATTAGCTTTATGTACAGAGGGAGCTGAGAACACAAAACTCCTTAGCAGTGGCAAAAAAAAAGGGAGATTATGGAGCAAGGGGGTAATTCTATACTGTTACTTGAATTGTATTTCCTTTCTTCCCAGCTTTAACACCATTTCTATGGCTGACTTTTAAAATTGCATCAATTGACAAGTCTGTAGGTTATGGAGTTGGACAGGGATTTGGGGAGGGGATTAAGGTTCTCTGAGGGTGAAGTACTCTCAATTCAGCTGTGTAGATGGAAGGAGGTAGTTAGGTTTAACTTTCAGATACAGCACAGTATTGTTTTCTTTGTTTTGAGAAACTGAGTGATTTAATACGTGATTTCACTCAATATTCCTTATGCATGGATAAGGGAGTGTGCTTTTATGCAGCTCATCTGTAAAGCTGTTGGGTTGCACACATTCCTGCTTCCTCTGCTGTCACCCATTCCCTCCCTCCACTCCCCCAGTGCAAGTTTAGACGTAGCCTTTAATTGCAGTGTCCCAGTGACTTGATGCCAAAGGTACAAGGTACCCTTCCTGATTGTCACAGTTAATTGATTTGCAGTTGCCTCTACTCGCTGCAATGAATGTAAACTCACTGCAGAAATGAAAATTTTGGTCTTGCCATGTAAATTGACTTTCTGCAAAGGCAACTGTTTCTGAAGTTCCACTCCAGTATTAATGTGTGTGTCTGTACTTGTGTTAAATAGTGATATTTGTTAGAGTTCTGTTTTTGATTAATATTTCAGGCTAAGAAAACTTGGATGGAGCTGGTAGAGATGCTCTACTGGGTGGGAGCCAAAAGTCTAACCACCACCAGCAAGAGCTACCTGCACCAGTGTAATTAAGATCAACAGCACAGATTCTAGTCTGGTCTCCTTTTGCAGAAAGTTAATTTTAAAGTAAGACCAAAACCTTTTTACTAATACATTGAATATGTAAGTCTTTACATTCTTCTCTGAGGGATTGTCCATATGGCTTCTGCAGCTTTGTGAGCAGGATGACATTTTTTGACATAATGATCTACTGTAGCTGTGCCTGTGGTGTTCATGCCCTCATGCCTTTAATCCAGGTGTACAAAGGGCCCAGCAGCTTCCTCCTGCCTGTGGCACTGAGATACAACCTGGACACTGTTTGCCATCTCTTCTTTTGCATTATCTGCTGCTGTTTTGTTCATAAGCCTGGCTATCTGTGGAACCCTGTGTATAAGTACTGTCTTGTTCCACATTTTAGGCTTAACTTGCTGTGCTTCCATTAAAAATGAGAAGATGTAAAATTACTCATTTTTTAACTGAAACCTTTTGTCATTTGTATCCAAAAGTTCAAGTATACTACTGGGCTGATACTGCTTGATTTATAAACAAAGCCTGAACATTAAAAAGACCTGGATGGACATTCATGTTCTATGCCTGTTCAGACACTGAAGTGAAAAGGTGTATGTTGATGCTGCAGTCTGTCCCATGTCTGACCATCCAGTTCACCTGCAATTGGTTCCTCAGGCTTCCTTCCTGCACTGGCCCAGGGGATTTTCCTCCTCACTACCTCAACAGCCTGTTAGAGATGACACTGTTGCAGCATTTCTTTCTCAAAGATTGACTTAATACCAGAGGTAAGATACAAGAGTCAGGAAGAGGATTTAACACAAAGCTTGAAAATGCAGGCACTGCCCTCTAAAGCTATTTGCCACATCTCTTGTTAGCAATTCTCTTGGTCTAGTCACTCTCTTTACTGGTGACCAGTTAAGACTTTGGAACAATAGTGGTTTTACACATTCTGATTGTGTAAGGGACACAGATCTCAGACCTAGGAAGTTGGTTTTTTTTGCTTCAGTTTTTTGGGGGAATGACTCAGCCAACATTTAACAGGTTGATTGAATTAAAAGGAGGTGGTTTTGGCACCAGCTTTGTCTCCTAAGGATGTTTGTTCTGTAATGGAATTAAATCATGACACACTGTTCTCTCATGTCCCATCTTGTCAAATCATTCTTCTGTGACCATTTTAACAATTGCTCATTTCTGTCCCTTTTCCTGTTTTTTAAAATCACAGTGATACAATAAGGAGAATCCCATGCTAAAAGTAATTGAAGGCTTTCTGTAGGGGTACTGTGAAGACAGCTTTTTGTGTGTGTTTTGCTACAGGCTCAGTACCTGTAGTACTATTGAGTCTGAAACCTCACTGGAGAGTGCAGTCAGTCAGTTAATCCCAATCACTTGTTTGGAGTCAGGTATTATACTACTTTACTCAAAGAGACTCTGTAAACTGAAAACACCACAACCATTCTCTATTCCAGTTGGATTATATAAATTAAGCCTAATCAATAAGGTCAACTGAGTTGGTCTGTAGTCTTGAAAAAGATAGTTACAATGAAAATCAAGGTAATGAGGAGACTGCTGTACAGCACCAGATGTAGTTTGCTGTATTCAGAATGTTTCTACCCTTAAGTTGTTGAAATCTTAGTTGTACTGCTGGTTGTGGTGCACAAGAGGAGCTTTGTCAGCACAAATACTTTACACCCATTCCCAAGCCACTGTTAATATCTGTAAATGTGTTTGTAACCCTGCAGGAGGCTGTAGTGTTCTTCAAGATAGCTCTGTACCTGCCAAGTGTAGTCTGGAGATGCTGAGGCAAGTAAGAGTTTCCCATGTGCCCACTTAGAGAAAAGAGCAAAATAAACCTCTAAGTCCTTGGGGTTTAGTGCTGTCTGTGAAGTGGCTGTCAAGTGCTTTAGTCTGTAGATGATCACTTGAACTGTGCTACATTTGCAGTACTGAAAGGACTCAGAGTCAGGGACCAGTGATAGCTGACAGAGCCATGGGAGACTTGTCCATCACATATCACTCCACTGGCAGTTGTAAGATGATTTTCCTGGATCTTCAGGACTTCTGAGGGAGTTTTTTCACTGCTCTTGCCTTAATTCACCCTCTTCTCTAAGCAGTCCATGTGAAGGAAACAGGTGAAAGCAGAGTTCAGTCACCAGAGTGTGACAGTAGCAAAGAAGTCTGGACTCAGCTTGCAGAAACCAAATGCTTTTGTGGTCAGAATGGAGGCATTTTAGTTTATTTTCCCTACAGCTCTTGGGAAGTTTTTGAGTGTTTAAGAGTTGCTGTTTAGGTATTTTCATATAAATTAATTAAAAGGGATGTAAAAAAGTACATATATGCATTGGAAATCTCTTCCCCCAACCTTGTTCTTTTATATCAGTTTCCAGAAACAGAACTCATGTGGATTAATACTGTCATGGATAGGAACAGACATTTTTTTTTCTGAACATTGAGTGTGTGCCAGAATTGGAATTCTGATAATTCAAATTATTTTGTTAATTTCAAGCTACTCATTCTGTTTGAGACTAGGGAATACCACCAAACCTGTGGATTAATTTACAGGTATGATATGTAGGCACCTTGTGACACAGAACTGTCATGTGCTGTATTGCCAGGAAAAGCAGTTCAGTAAACCCACATGAACACACTGGCTCTGCTTCCACAGCAAGGTTTGGGAATCTGCAAAATCTCATTGCTTACCCAAGGGAATCTCAGCTGTATGGGGGTCCATTTATTTGTACCCACCTACTGCTGTAGTTAGATGGAGATAAACATTTTCTTTTTAATTTTTTGAAGACAGCACCACAGGTTTGAGAAATAAAGACAGCTGAAAGTGCAGTGCAGATCCCCAGAATCACATCTGGCTCTTCTGACTTTGTGATAAGTGGTTGTTATAACACTGTTCAAGGTTGTTTTGTACAGAGTCTTACTGTAGGTAAAATAGATCTAACATGTACAAGCAGGAGTTTGCTGGGCTCCTTATGTAGCAGTGGAGGCTAGTGGCTATAAAATAAAATGAGGATCCCTGTCAGTGACCAGAGGTAAATTGGTGATTGCTTGTCAGATTGCTTGCCAAGAGTGGAATCTATGTGCAGAATACCTTAAAGTAAGAGTGACTACCATTTCTGTGGTTGAAATTGATGTCTACATTGTCTGTGTAGATTCCACAACCTGCTTGATTCTGCTTTCCCTGCTTCTGTAGAGTTTTCTCTAGAAGTCTTGTGTGATGAAAATACTGCAGAATGATTGAACCTATACTCCTTCATGTCCTGCTGTATGGATGGAGAGGAAGTGAAGCTAAATAGGCCACATGGGTACTGGCACAGCACGAATGGAGTTTTCAAACAAAACCTCCTAATTGCAATTAGCATATGTCAGGGAAAAAGAATCTCAATTTCCACATATTCAGAGGATTAAGAAGATTGTATTAAATGTCTTATTCTGTATTTGAGAGGTCCTTCTGGAAAGCAGAGCATTCCAAATGCTGAATTATACTGGTAATATTTTTATGAAGGTTTTGAAAATGTTAAAGTGAATACCATTGACACATGTAATACTGGGGGATAAAATGTGCTCATTATGTAGGCACTCAGGGGAGAAGAGCTGTCTACTAATGTGTTTCTACTAATATTTTATGTACTGTTTTTTTATCTTTAAGAATGAAACCAAGAAAAATTAAAGAAGATGATGCTCCACGAACGATAGCTTGTCCTCACAAAGTAAGTGAAGTGCTCAGCTTCTGAGTAGATAGCAATTTGTAGATCAGAATTTTGTATTGATGTTTTCTCTTGAGAATGAATAACTAAAATATCTTACTGTTAATAGTATACACTCAGTTAAATGTATTTTAGTTGTCATTCTCTAGAGGCTTCCTTTAAAACCTTTCACTGAATAATATATTATTCCCATTCCTTGTCTTAAGGTTAGTGCATCCCTAATCTTCTGGTAACCATGATGCACAGTCCCTAACATGCTGGTTTTACTGTTGTGATTTCCCGACACCCAAGAATACATACTTGAAAGAATGTTCTGAAAGCTGTTCAAAGTACGTTCCTAAGATCTATATATCCTCTGCTTGGAAACTATGACAGATTTGGAGTCTAGATCAGGAATCAGCAATTTATGGTGCAGATGCCAAAGTCAGCTTTATTGGAAGACTCAGAATTGCATTCCACAGAGCTGGAAAGTGCATCATCATGAAAGAGAGAGGCAGGCATCCTTGAGATATGATTCTGATCCACTGGTAGCAAGGAAGCTTCTGTCTTGAATAAACGTTGCCAGTCACCTGGATTGGTAGCCTGTGGCTTTACTGCATTATCCAGCTTTTGTAGTGCTTCTTTTAGCTGATTTAGTCTGTGACTAAAAAAGACAAACACAATCTTGCTGACTTCTGGTCTAGATAAGTGTGAGCCTAAGCCAATAATCAGGGCAGATAGCTATTAGAGTTATCCATTAGAGAGCATGAATAGAAGGCTACTTTCTGACAGCCATGGTGTAAGGAATTTTCCAAATTCCTCTTTGTGCTTATATTGATTTCCAATTCTCCACATTCTAAAAGTGTCGTGTTTTTTTGTAATACAGTATGCAGAGATACAGGAACAGTTATTTTTTACTATACCAAGGAATGTTACCTTCATTTCTTTGATTTACTTTTTCATAGCCTCAACTTCATCTAAACGGGGGGGAAAAACAATGTTCTATCCTTCCATTTTCTATCTTGTAGTGTTTGTAGGCTTTGTGCATTTATGAATTCAGTTTAACAAAAGAGAAATATTGTAGCTGTACCTGCTTCTCTCAGAGGCAAGAAGGGACTTAGAAATAAATGCAAAAAAAAGTTGATGGTCTGTTTACTTTGGCAGTGCTTTGCCCCACCCAGTTCTGCTATGTGCCATGAATGGTGGCACAGTACTTCAAAATTAGCCAAAGTGGTTCTAGTGCCTGAACAGAGAACTCCTGAAAGTGACATTTTGCCCCTTTTTGTAAGAAACAAAGCTTATTTAAATGTATTTAGGAAAAAGAAAAGGGCCTGGAGAATTTAAGATTAGCAGTTTAACAGTCCTTTAGGTATTGTTAAATTTTATGCCTCATAACACAGTGGTGTTGGCAGACTAGTCTTATATAAGTTTAAACAGCATCACTAGTAGTACAGATAGGATTTATGATTATTAATAGGATTTTATGAGGGATTTTGAGCCTTGAGGAAGACATTTATAAAACATAGGATAGATATCTGTTGATTGTCACTAAGAAGTGAAAAAAAGAAAGATTATGTAAATAGAACCCCAAGTTACTGCTGGCTTAGGCATACTCTGGAATCAAAAGTGGTATTCCTCTGTCAATGCAGAATTGATTCCCAGGTTAAGACTTTTGATGCTGAACCTGAATTAATGTGTCTTCTGCTTTTGGATTGAGCTGGGACTAACTCACTCTGTATTCTGCTGCCCAGTATCACTTTGTAGGTTTAATCTGCAGCAGTGGCACTCTCTGTCCCAAGGGGGTAGTGATCAGGCTGCTGCCGCCAGTTTGGACAAGGTAGTTCCTGTAAGTTGTTATGTGCTGGAAACCCTCTTGCTCCATTTGTTCTCAGAAATGGGCAGGACAGAGAAGGAAGAGGACAGAATGGTGGGAGATGGTGCACATACCACTTGGTACTAGGGAATAACCTGTGGTATATTAAAGACTAATATATTGTAGTACTATAGTTCTCAGAATATAGCACTTTAAAGAGTACACCATAGGTATCCATGAACTCTCCTTCTGTCTTTTGTTTTTTTTTCGGTTGGATTTTTGTTTTGTGTTTGTTGGTTTTTTTTCCTCTGAAACCTGTTAAGTGCTTTTGTTCGGTTTATTCATTTACTTCTGTCAGAATCTGCATCTTCTCCATAAGACTGTCCTGTTATTCATTTGACTACACATGGCTCACAATAATGAGTGAGGAAAGGGTTTGGGATCTTTTTGTTTGGGATTGGGTTTAGGTTTTATTTTATCAGCTTTTCAAATGATTAGATTTTCTCATATTGCTTTTAAGAAGTAAATGTAAGGGATGTTCTTTTCAGGGCCAACTATTAAGAAAGTATTCAGGATATAAAAGCATTTTAAATGCTTGTACTGTAGCAGATAAAACCTTCTTTATGAGAACTAGCTTATCTACTAATTGAGTTTCACTGTTCTTTTTAAGGGCTGCACAAAGATGTTCAGGGACAACTCTGCCATGAGGAAGCATCTGCACACTCATGGCCCTCGAGTACACGTATGTGCAGAGTGTGGCAAGGCCTTTGTGGAGAGCTCGAAACTAAAGCGGCATCAGCTGGTTCACACCGGAGAGAAACCCTTTCAGGTACTGCTCACCTGCAGGCACGAGTGCCACACCACCCTGGGGACAGGGGGACTCCAGCTATAACCTGCCTTCCACAGGACTTGGGCAAACTAGGGCTCTTCTAAAATCAGATGAGGCACCTGAAAAACTGGGAGTCCCCTTGAGTTAATTAGCCTGTCATTTAATTATTTACATGGATTTCTCTTAGAAATTGGTAAATTGGATGTACGTGAGAGATACCTTTCAAAATAGGATGTAAAAGTTGCCCTCTTTAAAAATGAGGTCTGCAGTTATTAGAGAAGTAAGCAAATGTCTCTTTCTCCTCATCATCTTTTCAGCTTAGTGCTTGTGGGTAATTGAGACTTGGAGCTGCTTGCTCAGTTAGTTACCTCAGAGTACTGATTTTCAGTAGGGTTTATTAATCAGTTTTCAACAAAATGATGGAGTCACTGAATCTCTTTCCATTTATATTGAATGATGTGGGCTTCTGCCACCAGAGGTCCCCTGCCCTCTTCATATACTCCCTATAAATCTTTAAAGTTAGTCTTGAACACATATGTGTTCCCCAGAACACACTTAAGATACGTAGGTTTTTTTTGTTGTTGATTATTTTCTAAAATAAATTATTCCAGAAACTTGATTTGCAGTCCTCAGGCGTTTGCTTGCACTGAATGCATGCACTGAATATTCTGTGTGGTCAATATAAGTATTTAACACTAAATGTGCTGTCCTTTTTATATCAAGCCCATCTTAAAAGTAAAGCAGGTAAAATGAGAAAATCTTTGCAAATCATCACTCAGAGGGGGAAGTTCTGATGTGAAATCCTGTTTCTGTTTTGTTGTACAGTGTAGGAACAGTTTCACATGCAGAGAAGGTGTCTTTAGTGGAAGTGCTTGCTTGCATGCTGGAGGTCATTTATCTCCCTCTTTGAAAAAAGATATGTTATTGTATATATACTATATACTGAAGTCTTGCAGTTTTTAGTGCAGTTCAGAGGGGATCCCTGCAGAGCTTCACCCAGAACAATTTTCAGCCTCTGGCTTCATATTTCTGCAGTCTAGCGATTTAAAGAAGACTGTTTTTCTGCTCAGTGATGGAGATGAGTTCCACTAGCTAACAGAGTGGTTTTTTCCTTCCAACAGTGTACGTTTGAAGGATGTGGAAAGCGTTTTTCACTGGACTTCAATTTACGCACACACGTGCGAATTCACACTGGCGACAGGCCCTACGTTTGCCCGTTTGACGGCTGCAATAAGAAGTTTGCGCAATCAACCAACCTGAAATCTCACATCTTAACACACGCTAAGGCCAAAAACAACCAGTGAAAGTCGAGGAGAACGTTCTCGAACTCAAAGCATCTTACAGGAAAATCAATTGGAAAGAAATACGCCTCCCCTTTGTATATTGTTTCTAGGAAAGAATTTTAAAAAGAACCCTACAAAACTAAAGGACGTGTTTTGATAAGTAGTAAATAAAAAGCAAAAAAAAACCACACAGAAAACTTGAAGGTGACATTGCTAAGATGATCCACCTTGGTCTGTAACCCCGTTTCAAGAACACGGTGTTTTGTAAAGTGTGGCCCCAACAGGACGGGTCAGCTCATGAACTTGCATCAGAAAAGACAATTCTTTATACAACAGTGCTAAAATTGGACTTCTTTTCACATTCTTATAAATATGAAGCTCACCTGTTGCTTACAATTTTTTTTAATTTTGTATTTTCCAAGTGTGCATATTGTACACTTTTCGGGGATATGCGTAGTAATGCTATGTGTGATTTTCTGGAGGTTGATAACTTGCTTGCGGTAGATTTTCTTTAAAAGAATGGGCAGTTACATGCATACTTCAAAAGTATTTTCCTGTAAAGAAAGAAAAGTTATATAGGTTTTGTTTGCTATCTTAATTTTGGTTGTATTCTTTGATGTTAACACATTTTGTATAATTGTATCGTATAGCTGTAATGAAATCATGTAGTATCAAATATTAGATGTGATTTAATAGTGTTAATCAATTTAAACCCATTTTAGTCACTTTTTTTGGAGAAATACTGCCAGATGCTGATGTTCAGTGTAATTTCTTTGCCTGTTCAGTTACGGAAAGTGGTGCTCAGTTGTAGAATGTATTGTACAGGCACTGACCGTTTATTAACACCTGATAATATGTACATCCCCCATGTAATAGAAAGGACAACAATAAAACAGTGGTCCTAAAGAAAGAATCTGGCAGAAAATGATCTGTAAGTGCAGTCAATTTTCTTTTGTTGTCCAGAGCAGTTCTAGTTCCTCTTACCTCCCAGAAATTGGAAGCTAAATAAACTCAAGTTTCCTTTACTTTGCATTCAATTACAGTGATTTGTGATGCAGTTAATACCACATCAGGTGGTATATCTAAACAGAATTGCTGACTGTAATTCTGGTTTTGAGTGACCTAGACTTCCATTAACTGGAACGATGGATTTGGAGACTTGGCAGTGTAGAGGGGAGTGTTCTGTGTGCCTGGACAGCAACTTGGTAAAACAGTACAGGAAATAACTAAATGGAAACCTTTTTTTAGTCAAGGTAAGGAATGTTGGCAGTTTAAATGCAGTAACAATAGAAAGTGGAGGAATGGTAGGGTTTGGGTGATCATACCAGGAAAAAAAAGAAACTGTTTCTTCTTTTGGCTAACTTGCTTGAGTGTAATGATAAAAATTTTTGGAACCTTATTGGACACCTTTTGTTTCAAAACAAGAACTTGAAGTTCTAAGAGAGCTAGATGGAGTTGAGTTTTGATGGTCTAACTAAGAGTGGTTACTTCTCATTTGTTCAAGTGTTCAAAGAAAACTTAGCAGATACTATAGTAAAATGTGACAGATTAATAAACAGAAAAAAATGCAGAGAAATGCATAAGTTATTTTTTAGAGGCATGTAACATATTTTAATGCAGTAAAAAGTGTTGTTAATCTTTTTCTGAATTCTTTTCTTAAAAGGTTCATCCAAGTTTTCATTGCTGATACTGTAAAACTTAATTTTGAGTCCATTGTTGGTGGTAGTGGCAAAAACATGGGTAATAAAGAAACTGCACTTAAGACCAAGGGAATTTTCATCCATACATAAGTTAATTTGAACACTGCAACTCTAGTCTGAGGTTATTAGGAGTAGAAAGAAAGTTGGGACATTTAATTGTAAAGTATGCGTTAGAATTTTGGCAGTATTTTTTCTTTTATATATAAGCAGTTTTTGAACAGGACAATATACTGAAACTTGTATAGTTATAGTTAAATTAAATTCTGTATACAGTTAAATTAGTGTCTATTCTTTTTGGAAGGAAATAAAATTAATTCAGTCTAGTTCTAATTGACCTTATATTTTTTCTTAAGCAGTATCTGTGATGGTGTTAGGCTTACACAGAAGTTTTCTTTCTTGTGTCATAAAGTCATTTATTGAATTGCAAGGTGTCAGTACTTCATCCTTGAACATACATTAGGGACTGAACTGTTACTTTAAACATACATTTTGAGACTAAGCTATGTTAAATATTGATTTGAGGACCAACTGGGAACTGTAACTGTTATTGCCTCTGGTTGTATTGCATCTGATTACAGAGAGACGTTTCCATCTAGGCCTCAAATCAGTAGCACTCAATATACTCCTGAGTGTAAGTAGCAACACTCAGTAGCTTCAAAGGTCTTGCTTTGTAAGTACCTAATTCCATACTGGGTATGAATAAATACAAGCATTAAGCAGCTGCTATAACTTGTTTAAGCTTTTAAAGTATAATTGGCACACCTTGCTCTTAAAACATCCTGCTTGATTGATTCCAGAGTTTTCCTCAAGGTTTTTCAGTGAAGAAATTACAGGATTTGAGAATAGCAACAGAGTTGACTTTGAAACCACCATTCCCAGCGTGCTATTGAGTTCCTGCATTCCACCACCAATTTGTGAGCGAGTTCAGGTAAGGGGAGGAGAAGATGAGGGGTGGTAGAAATGTGGGTTTAAAACTGGCAAAAAATTTCCATGCTTACTCATTCCACATGTTCTGCTGCTGGTTTGATTGTACATACACCTTGTTTGGTTCTGCTGCTGTCAGAATGAAAGGAGGCAAACTCAGACCAACTTAAAAGGCAGAACTGACCAGACTTTTATCTATTTATGGTCTGTCAGTAAATGCAAACAACTTAATATACTAATTATTTGTGGAGACTGTTTATTGAAAAGGTTGTAGGAGGACTTCAGATTCAGATTTGAAATGCTAAGAGAATAAATCTTTAGTGAAACAGAATGCCAGGACCTCAGCTGAACCTGCACTAAATTTTAGTTATCTCCTGTTTGAAGAGGGTCACTGTGGAATTGAGGTAGTGCATTTTGACTTTACTCTGTAGTGGTTGCAAATTGTCAGTCAACAAAGCCAAATACTAAAAAACACATCCTAACAACAGCTTGTCACCAATAATGTAGCTTTAAGGGCAGATGGAGATCCTTCCTCTCTGCTAATTCCACAGTGGGTGGAATCCACTATGGAAGATGGTGGATCCAATAATTACTGGATGGAAGATCCAATAATTACCAGAAACAGCAAAAATATTGAGGCTTTGAAATGTTTGAAGAAAGTGAATCCCTTCAAAGTGTCATGGCTGTGATAATAACAAGTGTTTCCACATGCTCATCATGTAACTCACAGGGTATTTTGTCAGTTTGCCTTGGAAAAACTGGGGATGGTTGGTTTTTCTACTCAGTTAAGATGCATGAACGTGAGGAAGTATGTGTTGAATATCATTTTTCCAAGTGTTTCCTTAATACCTTGAAGAAATTGAGAAAATCTGGAATTTTCATCAGGGCTGCTAGACAAATCTGTCTGGAAAGTCTTAATCAGTCAAGTGGCAGCTGCTACTGGCATGGTTGGTATATAATGTGTGTCTATAATGTGCCATCTGTAATGATGGCATTGCAGAATAAGTTTTTCATCTGTACAGCACCTTCTAAAATCTGCTGTGTAATCATGGTGTGAGGAGAGGAGTAAAGCATGTTCGTGTCAGCAATGAGCTTTACTGCACTCATGTTCCTGGAGCACTTAAAGCTACCAAGGGGAACCTGGGGTGGATTTCAAAACTGAATATTGGGTGTGAATTTTGCAGGCAGGAATGCAACTAAGAGTTCACTTCAATATTCTTGTTCCTGGCTGTGTAAATGGAATACTTTAAAAAGTAGCACTTTCCTTGGGAAGAGTCCCAGGGCAAAGGAATGGGAAAGTGAAATAGAGCAGAGGGAGTGCAACCCTGCTGCTGAACACAAGGAGCAGAAACATCTGCACAGTGTCTGTAAAGGTAGATGTGAATCAGAGCAGGACTGTATGTGTTTGTATTATGATATTCAATATTCAGTTTGATAATATGAATTGGTCTAGTGTCAATTGCAAGAGTGTGATAATGGCTTTACAGCAATGCTGAAATTCCACCTGGGTGGCTACTGGTTTAATTTTGTGAGGTAATTGAATCAGTGGTTCTTTTCTCAACTTCATTCTCTTTGCCTAAAGCAAACCAGCTTTTATGTGTACTCTCAATGATCCTATATTATTAAGGCAGTTTAACTTAAGAATTTTTTTCAGTCCTTTTCTCTGGAAATGACCTGGAAAGTGTTGTATTTCCTTTGGGGCAAGCACATCATATTCTGTATAAGAGTTAATGTGAATTTTTCAGGTTCTGGTTTCCCCTGAAGTGTCAGGAAAACACTGTTTTGCTGTAGGTAAATGAATAAGATTTGTTACAGCAACTGGGTTTAACACAATTCCCGTTTCAGGGTTTTCCGAGTCTTCTGTTACTTTTTCCAAGAGAAAAGCTCTAAGCCTGGGTGCTGGTTGGGTACCACAGCTTCTGTTGTGTGTCATGGTGTGGACATGGTTCCCTCATGTGAGCTGCTCTTCTCACCAGGTTCCTGTGGCTGCTGGGAGCTCTCCTCCTCTTGCAGGAGCAAGCCTGAAGTTCTGTCCAGATGCTGGTGAATTTTGGGAGGTAGAGAAAGGGATGGAGAGTCTGTGGCATCCTTGCAGGATTTAGGGTGCTCCTTTTGGCACCACTGTTGAAGTGATGTAGGTTGAAGTGCGATTCCTCTCTAATGGCTCTGGTGTCAGCTGTGTCAGTCTTTGTTTGGTTCAGGAGCTGCGGGTCGCAGTTTGCCAGGAGGTGGCAGTGAATCGCCTGTTTGCATGGCGTGACCGGCAGACAGAGTGGCAGTGTCAGGGTGCCCCTGCGAGGTCAAGTGAGTGTCCGGAGGCGTTCAGTGGACCTTGGCAGGCTTGGAGTGTGCCAGTGGCAAAGAGCAAATTGCCCACACACCACCGAGGGGAATAAGAATTACAATTGTGTACTGATTTCCTAGAGTCCTGAGTTTATTTGTGCATTCATTAAAAGCACCATCAAGGCATTGAAAATAAAAGACCATAAATAAAAATTGTTGAGTGTGACATGGGTCATATATGCATGCATCCATAAAATATTAATATTAAATAGAGAGTAATGTGGGAATCCAGTGATCAATGGTATTAATGAATGTGCTTTCAGCTGTGAGTGGCTATTTTGGTTAACTTCTGGACCTGTAAAACATCACTGCTTCTCTCCAGCAGAGGCATCCTGAAAAGTCCCAGTTCTTCTGAGGCAGTTTGGGCCTTTGCTTCAGTCTGTAACTGCTCATAATGTGTGCAAGGCCATTGCAGAGACTGCACAACAGGACCCATGTTGCATTGGAGTCCTGCATTGCTGCTCTTTAGGGGATCAGAGATCTCAAGTAACCTGTTTTCCTCCTTGGAGCAGCCCCACAGAAAAGATGAATTTCAGAAGAATGTGAATAACCAAGATTTTTGAGATAAATTATAGAGCATGTGAAGACTGTGGCAGATTATGTGTACTGCTTGTTAAACAGTGGCAAATCCATACACAAAAGGTCTTGGTGATAGCTCCTAATGTCCTTTGGCTAAATCTCATCTTGGGAAGTGATTGCAAGACAAATTGTGGAAAACTGTTGGTTGGTGTTTTGATTTGAGAGCTCACAAAGTCAGGTGTCCTTCAGAGTTGCAAGGTGGACTTGCCAGGGACCTCACTGACCTTGCCTGTGCCAATTCTGGCTCACAAAGGCTTTGACCGCCTCACACGTGGGGCATCATGCAGCTTATGCTTTGACTTATTTTTCAACACATGTATTTTTTTCTCAGCCAAACAGAAAATTTGGCCTTTTGATATAGAATCCTTCAGTTTTCAGTCTTACCTGCTGCTTTGACTGAACCTCCAATGGATTTATGTGAATCCACTGACTCCCATAGCTTTAAAGGCATACAATGTTTATGGTTTGAAAATGGATTGTAAGGAATAATACTTATGGGAGGTCTTTAGGTTTTCCTCTTGTGTGGTTGGTTGGTTTGCTTGTTTTTATTTTTTCCTCCTGCATAGGTTAGGGACAGGGCATTTCATCTCAATTTTCCCAGACTGTGAAATGAAAATGTGTCCAGTCTCTCAGTTAAGAACTGGCAGGGAAGCAGGAAACTGCCTGGATTAATTTAAGGGTAGAAATAGTTATTACATTTACCTCCTTTAACTGCAGTTAAAAAGTTTGAACTTTATTACTGGCCTGTTTGAAAGCACCTCTCATAGATTCTTCCTAAGTGAAAATACCCCAGTTCACAAGGAAGAAGGTGTATGGGCTGGTGGATTGCAACACTGAAGTATTCCTAATCTACAATAAATCTCTGCTTAAGATAATAGATCAGATCCTAGAAGAGGAATATTCTGTTTTGAAATAAACACCAACTTTAATCTGGCCAAGTCAAATTACTTGAGCAACACTTCTTTCTATTCTGATATATATAAGAAATGGTGCAGACCATGAGGTCAGGCTTCATGATGATTTTAGTGTTTTATTGATTGACACATGGATGTGGCTAAAATGGTAAAAGTCTCTTTTACTGTCAATAAAAATGCAGTGTGCTTCTTTCAGTAAGAAAAACAGTCATAATAAATTATGATAGTGAATGATAACTAAGCAATTTGACTGTGTTAGTTACATTTTATAGACCCTAAGGATATTTTGTGAACATTGAATGAACATAAATGTTATGTTCATTATGTTTATGTTCATAAATAATGAACATAAATTCTTCCATTTATATCAATCTATAGGGCATTAGTGTACACTGCAGACCTTGCCTTTATTTCAGTTTATTTATTGATGAACCTATACAGCTCAAAATCACTTTCTAGGTCAACTCAGTTAAAACTAGTAATAAACTATAAGTAGAAAAGCTTTTACTGTATCTCTTATGTATTACTGTGCATATTATGTCACTTTTTTCCTGTTGGTGACA